GGCACATTGTGGACAAGTGCACCGAGCTGCTGCGAGAGGGTCTTCCCCCCAGCACTGGCCCCGGGCCCCGGGGAGCCCGCGACTGAGAATCAGTCCCCTAGCAGCAGCAGCAACAACTACTTCAGCCCCCGGGAAGCAGCCAGGCCCAGGCCACGGGAGGCCAAGTCTGAGGGCTCGGAGGAGGAGGAGGAGACCGGCTTCGTCAAGGACCGGGACGGGGGTGCCGTGACGGGCAGCGACTACCAGCCCCTGGGGGCTGGGGAGGCCGAGCCAGCCAGGGGGGGAGGAGGAGGAGGAGGAAGAGGAAGGCGAGAGCAGCAGTCGCAGCCCAGACAGTCTGTACCCACGGCTGCCTCTGGCCCAGCCGCCCCCGCTCGGGCGCTGGGTGTACGTGAAGAAGGAGAGGCCCGAGGAGGACCTGTGTGCTGACGTGGAGGAGGACGGGCAGCACTTTTTGAAGGGGCCGCGGGTGGGTGGGGGAGGGGGTCTTCGGCAGCTCAGCATTGCGGGGGTCCGTACGTTGGCTGGCGGGGCAGGGGCAGCGACGAACAGCCCGACTATTTCTACGGTTCCTCGGAGGAGCTGGGCTATGAAGGGGGCTGGACGAGAGCCCGCGAGGTGGCGGGGCTTACCCGCTGCCCCTGCTGCTGCAGGCTGGGGGCGGGATGGGGGTGCCGGGGGCGGGGGGGACCTGCGGCATGGCCCGGTGCAGCCCCGGCTGGCACCGGAGCCCCCAAGGCCTTCGCCTGTCACTGCGGAAAGACCTTCACCACAAGAGCCAGCGGACCGTCACGTCAACATGCACCTGAACCTCAGACCTTTCGGCTGCTCCGCCTGCGGGAAGAAGTTCAAGATGAAGCACCACCTGGTGGAGCACATGAAGATCCACACCGGCCACAAGCCCTTCGGCTGCCACGTGTGCGGCAAGAAGTTCATGTGGAGGGACAGCTTCCTGCGGCACCGGGCGGCGTGTGAGAAACTGCAACGAGCCACGAGTGGCAACCTCGAGCCTCCCCCCAACTGAGAGACCCTCCTCCCCAACCGAGGCTCAGCTGGGACTCACTGCTGCCCGCCCTGTTTAACCATTTACTCACTGCCAGGGGTTCCGCACCTGTGTCCAATACCTTTCATATCTGCCCAGGGCTCGCTGTCTCTCACTCTGTCTCTGTTTGTATTTCGCTGTCTTTGTCAGTCTTTATGTGTGTTTGTGTGTGTCTGAGTCTGTGTATGTTTGTGTATTATTTATCTCTGACCCTCTGTTTCTGTCTCGCGCGCTCTCAGGCCCCCATGACTGCAGCGTGTCACCAACGGGCAGTGACTGAGGGCTCGGGTACTTTGCTCCGTGTGTTCCGGGTAGCGAGTCTCCAGCAGACAGTAAAAAGCTTCGCTCCGTCTCTAACCCGTCCTGTCACTGACCTGGGAGTGTGGACGCACGATAGTGTAAAAGGAACTTTACTCTGTCTCTTACCTTGACTTGGGAGTGTGGACGCACAGTGTAGAGGGAGCTTAACGCTGCCTCTAAACCTGACCTGGGAGTGTGGACGGACATTGTCAAGGAGGTTTGTGTAACCATAGGGATGTAACACAGTGGGAGAAAGTGCATTTGACTCATTTTATATTTTGTGTTGGTGTTTGTGCCTCCACCCTAAACCCATTTCACTGCACCCTCTGTTACCCTCTCTCTGCCCCTGTGCTTCTCAAATTCCTTTTTGACCCTTAATCGCCTGCTGTCTACATTCCCCCCCCCCCACCCAACAAATTATTCCACAGCGGGACAACCCAACGGGAGAAGAAAACCTTCTCGATTTCTTTACCAAACTCCCACTTTTGAACATCTCCTTTTCCTCCCACATCGTAGAAGCCTTGGGTGAAATTTATGGCTTAGAAAGGGTACACTTGGCCCGTCGTATCTGTGCTGCTTCTTTAAGAGAAATCCTTTTGAGTCCCATTTCCCTGTCCTGTTCCCCCGTTACTCCTGTAGCTGACTCTTTTTGAGGTATGTGCTCAGTTCACTCTTGAAGGACGATATGGATTCTGCCTCAGTCACCACCTCCTGGCCGCTCATTCTATACCCTGTGCGTGAAAACATTTCTCCTCACCTCCCCATTTGTTGGCTTACTAACCATCTTAACTTGATTCCCTCCAGTTGTTGACTCACCAATCACTTCTAACTCTTAGCCACTTGTTTCTGAGTCCTCTGTCAGTGGATACGGGTTTTTCATGATTTAAACCGGAAAACCCTTTCGGTTATCAGAAACACCTCCATCGTATCAACAACAACAACAACAACCCTCCACGCCGGACGGCGTCTCGGAGCGCCTCACAGTAACGGATCCCGGGGCCGAGCCGGGGGGAGGGGGAGGAAGGTGACCAAAGGCGCGGTCGAAGAGAAAGGTCTTCAGCGGAGACCTGAACATAGGAATAGAGGGGGCGGGGGGAAGGGAGTGAGGAAGGCAGTTCCAGAGCCTCGGGCATAGTGGCTGAAGGCAACGGCCGCCGAGGGTGGAGCGGAGGACTCGGGGGACGAGGAGGAGGTCAGACCCGGAGGAACAAAGGCAACGTACTGTTTTGAGGAGAGAGGAGGTCAGAGAGGTCGGGGGGTGCAGAGGAGTGGAGGGATACAAGGGTGAGGATCTTGAAATCGATCCTCTCTGGGACAGGCGGTCAGGGCAGTCTGACCAGGACTTGGGGGGATCGGGGAGCGGGGTTTGGTGCGGGTGAGAATGGGGGCGGCAGAGTTTTGTATAATCTGGATTTTATGGATGGGGTAGTGGAGGGGAGACCCGGCGCGGAGGGCGTTAGAGTAGTCCAGCCGAGAGGTGACAAAGGCACGGACCAGGGTTTCAGCGGCTTTCGGAGAGAGGTATTGGCGGAGATCACTCCTCACTGCTCCCCCGGCGGTAAAAAGGCCTCATCTCCTCTCCCACATCAGCCTCTTGGCTCAGAAAGCAGCATTGCCGTCTGCGAGTCTGAAGGTTTAAACCCCACGTTGGGGAACTTGGAACACCTGTGGTCCAGGTCAGGGGGGTCTCCCAACAGGTCGATCACCGTGAGGTGGCGCTGTGGCATATGATCAGAAAGACCAGAGGAAGGAGGGACAGAACTGTATTTATTTAAGTCCAATTGATAAGGAAGTCAGATGCACAAAGTATTTCATGCATCTCGGAATAAAAGTGTACACTTTATTGTGCAAACTGCACCAAACATCGATCCTTCCTCTTGTTTTTATTGACAATGCTCGACTCGCCACCTCGCTGTGATCGACTACGGAGACCCCTGGGCTCGGTTGACAATCCAACGCGGCGCTGGCGGGAGGGAGGGGCTGCGTCGCTTTAGGATGAGACGTTAAACCGAGGCCTCGTCTGTGCCCTGTTCAGGTGGATGTTAAGGGCACCATTCGAAAAGAGAAGGGCGTTTCTCTCTGTCTCTGTCTCCCGTGGGTCCCGGCCAGCAATCCCCCCCCAATAAAAAGTGGTCACTCCCTGCATTGCTCTTTGTGGGACGCTGCTGTGTGCAAATTGTCTGCCGCATTTCGCCCACAAAATACACAGTATTTTGTGTGAAGGGCTTTGAGATGTCTCGATGACACGATAAGCTGCTTTTATCAAATGTACGGATTGTTATTACACTGTTCTTTCATCTCATTTATCATCATCTCCATAGCCATATAGTATCCTTTCTCTAACGTGGTTCCCGAAGTCGCACCAAACACTTACCGTAACTGGCCTGGTTGATTGGACCACGAGAGAAAGCTTTAGTTTATATACAAATATAATTTTGTTTTTAAAAAAACACAGTTATAGCCAGTAACACCGTGTTATTATATAACATACAGTGTTTCAGCCAGTAACACAGTGTCTTATTATATAATATACAGTGTTAGAGCCAGTAACACAGTGTCTTATTATATAATATACAGTGTTATAGCCAGTAACACGGTGTGTCATTGTATAGTAGACAGAGTTATAGTCAGTAACAGTTATTATACAATGTACAATGTTATAGCCAGTAACACAGTGCTGTTATTATAATATAAAGTGTTATTATACAATATACAGAGTTATAGCTGGTAACACTGTCATTACACTATGCAGTGTTATAGCCAGTAACACACTTATTGTATAATACACAGAGAGTTATACCAGTAACACACGGTGTTATAATACACAGAGAGTTTCCGAGAGCAGACCAGACTCACTGCCCTTCTCTCTACCTGCGATGCTCATTGCCTGGGTCAGCGCTCAGGGAAAGTGGGTGGGAGTGCGTATACAGCCATGTACTACGCAATGGATATTTCATTGAGTGCACCCAACCGCTTACAGACTCCATGCGAGTTAGAAGATACTGGAGATAGTTGCACAGTGCAATAGACCCATCAAATCTATGTGGCTGGTCCCCAAAGTTTTAAAAAAAAAATCACTAATGCATTTTGTGTCGCAACACCACTCCCATCAAATTCTTTACCGAACACCCGTATTGATGCCTTGAAAGCGAGAAAGTCTTCCTCGCTTTCCTGGCTTGTTTTTTTTTTTCCTCTCGTGCGCAAATTGGCTGCTGCATTTCACCCACAAAACACAAGTCGCCGTGCTTTACCGTGTATCCTGTGGGGTGTGCTATGAGACATCTCGACAATTGTGATAAGGCGCTGTATCAGATGCAAGGATTACTGTTATATTGAATGATTCACCCGAGGCCGGCATGAATGGGGACGTTCAGACTATCTCGCGTCCCAAACGTGTCCCAAAGTCCCGGCTTCAGTCTTTCAACCCCATTCCAGCTATGAACCTTCCTCTCTGTACGGTGTCTGCCCTGACGAGGGTGTTGGGCTCCGTGAACCCTGCCATCCAAAGGCCCTAAAGGGGTAGGGTGGTCCTAGCTGGACAAGTAGAGGGAAACCTTACCAGGTAGCACTATCGATGGCAAGCTATGTAGTCTTAGCCAGTTAGACTAGCAATTACCCCAACGCACACTCTGGGTGCCCAAGCCTTGGTTTTTGCCACCCCGGGCCTAATAACTGCCTGGAATTAGGTAAGCCGAATGCATCCCTCTGGGGAGAGATTGTGCGTTCTCTTCTAACAATCTTATCAAATTTGCATTTGTAAGTGGGAGGCGTGGATTCCCTAAAGCAGCCAATTGTGCACAGCAATGGTCCACAAACAGCCATGCAGCGAGGGACTAGTTTTATCTGGGGGATCGTCGGTCAGGACACTCGGGAGATATTGGATGGAACATCCTCCTGACATGAAAGACGCTTTACAAAATGTAAGGTTTATTATTATTTTAAAATTGATTCCTATCAATTTCCTCCGCTCAAGAGATTCCAGTGGGCCAAACAATAACTCTGTGGTGTGTGTGTGTGTGGGGGGGGGGGTGGGGGGGAACGTACAAACAAAGTCATGTGCTTGTTCATTTGGGTGGATTTAAAGTTGCTCTGGCACTGCAATATTTGAAAAGATATGGTGGGTTAGGAGAGAAGGTGGTGACGCAGTTGGGTGGGGTTGGGGCGCGGAGTAGCAGGAGAAATATGGCTAAAGGCACAGTCAAAGAGGAAGGTCTCGGAAGATCTTCACACGACGGTGTGGAGTATAAACACTGACACAGACTGGTTAGGCCCAAGTGGTCGCTTTCGATGCTGTACGTTCTTTGTAAAACTTTGTAAATCATGTTTTTCTGTGGGATCAATCCGTGCGCAAAAGAGTGCTGTGTTTACCTACAATAATGATCCACCCACCCAACTGTCATTTCTGTGAAGAGCTTTGAGATATTTGGACCGGATCAGTTGCAAAACAAATTGCAGGCCCACACGAAAATGTCTCAAGAGTGATTAAAGGTAATAATTATTATCAAAATAATATAATACTTATATTTGGTTCAGCGCCTTTCACATCAGGAGGACGTCCCAAAGCGCTTCACAGGATTTACTGTAAAGTGTAGGGACTGTGTACTTGTAGGCGAACATGGCAGCCAACTGAACACAACAACATCCCAATATCGCAAATTTTTCTCCAAGTGCCTTTGCAAATGAATTTCAAATCCCTTACATTGCAAATGTGAGGAGTTTTACAGTTAAAGCCGCAGGAGTCGTTTTTTCAGGGCACGGGAACAAATTTGCTCAGATCGCCAGCCAGCAGGGAGCAGATCCTGAAATGTTTTGTCCTCCCAACGTGTCCTTTTCATTCACTCTCTCATCGATATACGTGACTGGTCATTTCTTGGTCGTGACTGGTGGTGCCACGGTCAACGATTGCCCACTGCAGGGGAAAAGTGCAACCAGATCTCGGCTAAGGTTGGCTCCCAGGTGTGGAAACTGTTGCCTGTTGTGGAAGGAGCCATTAATAATAATTCTCGCATTTGATACAGCGCTTTTCACGTCGGGAGGACGTCCCAAAGCGCTTCACAGAACACACTGTAAAGTGGATTGACTGTATATTTGT